GGAATCTTTAACCTGGTGCTGGTCCATTTAGAAGGAGGGATGGGTCCTAAAGCTATATAAGGGGTGGAACAGAACAAAGGGTGCTGCAGTCATGAGAAATCCCCTAGCTACCACCTGAGCTGGAACTAGGCCTGTAGCAGGGGAAAGGATTGGGCCCAGACTAGGAAGGAGTCTGGTCTGTGGTAGAAGCTTATTGGAACATCTCTGAGGGTGAGATTTCATCTGTAATCAGTTTCTTAATGTATTAGGCTTCGACTTGCATGTTTTTGTTTTATTTTGCTTGGTAATTTACTTTGTTCTGTCTGTTATTACTTGGAACCACTTAAATCCTACTTTTTATATTTAATAAAATCACTTTTTGCTTATTAATTAACGCAGAGCAAGTATTAATACCTGGGGGAGCAAACAGCTGTGCATATCTCTCTATCAGTGTTATAGAGGGCGGACAATTTATGGGTTTACCCTGTATAAGCTTTATACAGGGTAAAATGGATTTATTTGGGGTTTGGACCCCATTGGGAGCTGGATGTCTGGGTGCTGGAGACAGGAGCATTTCTTAAGCTGTTTTCAGTTAAGCCTGCAGCTTGTGGGGGACGTGGTTCAGACTTGGGTCTGTGTTTGCCGCAGGCTAGCGTGTCTGGCTCCAGCAGGCAGGGTACTGAAGTCCCAAGCTGGCAGGGAAAACGGGCTCGGAGGCAGTCCCAGCACATCAGGTGGCAATGCCAAGGGGTCTCTGTGACCGAACCCATCACAATGGTGTAGTCGAACAGGATCTGTGCACAGCTGATTGCTTTGAGACACTGGTAGTGACTTTAAGTGAGTTTTAAGTGTGGTGGCCGGAGAGCAGATGAAGTGGTTACTGGTTTGTTATTTTCTGTTTGCTTATTTCGGGTGAGGGAAATAGGGACAGAAAAGGAAGCAAGATGAGTGAGAGTGAAGCTGAGAAGAAGCTGGAACTGCACAGGTTGCAGATTGCCCAGAAAGGCTGAACACTGGGCCCTGGGAAAGTTCCTGTTAACTGAGAAGCCCCTGGGCTGAGTGAATCTCAGTTCCAGTGAACTGCAGACGGGTGTGGCCCAACCTCTGGGTCTGTGCTGACAGGAGTGGAGGGACGCCTGTTCTGACATGAGGGGATTCTCTGTGGTATCCCAGCCCATCAAGTGACAGTCTCAAGGGGAGATAAATGGAAATTGACGCGCAATTTGCCCAGGAAAAGGCTGCCATGGAAGTAGAAGCAGCGAGACAAAGGGCTGCCCACCAGCAAACCCTGAACTTAAAAGACAAAGCAGTTGAGGCCCAGAGAGAAGCACAAATAGAGACCCAGAAGCAGGAACTGGCTGTTATGGAGTGGAAGAGGGGCACAGAGACATGGATCCTGGAGATAGAAGTTGGGGTCCTGGTGACTGCTACAGTGGAAACAGATCCCAACGACTCTATAGCTGGAAGCAAGCCCAACCTGAGGCGGGGGGCACTACAGACTGCTGGGGAACACCACCATTTACCTCTCTCCACTCTGAAAACTGACCATTTATTCCTACCCTTTGTTTCCTATCTTTTAACCAGTTACCAGTCCAGGAGAGGACCTTCCCTCTTATCCCACGGCAGCTCACTTTGCGTAAGAGCCTTTGGTGAGGGACCTTGTCAAAGGCCTGCTGAAAATCTAAGTACACAATATCCACTGGATCCCCTTTTTCCACATGCTTGTTGAGCCCCTCAATGAATTCTAGTAGATTGGTGAGGCATGAATT